GGGGGACTCACAATGAAAACATGAAGAAAACAGATGTTTCACCTGGAGTTGAGTGCTATGAGGGTGGGAGGAAAAGCAGGGGTGCACTTTTTAGATCGTTGCAGGGCTGTCGACAGCAGAAAGGGGCAAGATGGCAAACTCTGCCCGAATGTGCCAACAGGCAGAGCAGTCTCATATGGTGTCAGTGTTATGCAATGAGTATAGGAAGGCCAGATCCAGCTGTTGATGTGGGGTTATGCTACAGGGCCTCCAGGAGCTCCTCTGCCTATGGGCTTACCCGAGGCTCTCTCTTCAGGCGGAGGTGCCACCCCCAGTGCTGGGTCAAAGATTTCTGAGCCATGCCCCTGTGTTTCAGATGGTAGTAGGACTCTCCTTCAATCACCTGCAGGCGGTGCAGAAGGGCAAGACTTTAGCCCGGCTTCCCGTCAGCCTCGGCACTCAAAAGACAAAGAACAGAGAGCAGGAGGAAGAACTCAGCCAGAGAGGTTTTGACATCTCTGCAAAAATAAAATACAGCATGGAGCAGATTCTCCCCAATCCGCTGCTCCTCTCCACATGCCCCCCCACTCAACCCCGTTAGTTGATCCCTTTGATGCCAAAACCCACCTTCTCTTTCCGACTGAGAAATAAGCAAAGAGCCTGCTCCGATCATGAGAAAACCAGCTTGGGATCTCCCCCCCTTCTCTTTTCCCCTGCCTTAGAAACAACCTCTGTCTTGATCTACTTTCCCAGGCCTGACTGCATACCTCAAAAATATATCTCATCGATCTGATTAACCGGGAGCTGCCCTGGTTTTCAGGAGAAGAGGGAATAAATGATTTAATAGAAATGAAGCAAGCGTTTCAAGACTCTGTTTTCCCCTCTTGAAATAAAAATACTCCTGCTGCGTTTTCATCGCACGAGGTTCAGATTTTCCTCCAGCAACAGAAAATGCACTGGGCAGCAGCAACCATCCATTTCCAGGGAACGCAAAATTTGCTGGGGTGGAGACCGTCAGACACAGACACGGCTGTTTTCTGCAGACCGCAACCCTACACTCCTTGTTCATAATTTCCCTCCTCTGCCCCAGAGGAGCAGGGCCTCTTAACCTGCCAAAATGTCTGTACCTTCAGCCAGTTTCATCTCCCCCCGACCCTTTTGCAAAAGGCAGTTCCTTCCCCCCAAAGGGTTCCTTTTTTAAAAAAAAAGCAGCATTCTTTTTGCAGAAAGTCCCGCTCTCTCTCATCCCTACTCCTTCATCCTAGAGGAGGTGCAAAATGAAGCCAGACCAGAATTTCTTCTCCAGATAACTTGCAAGGTTTGCCAGAGGAAGAGCAAGATCTGTCACCCACTGGGGGGGGGGGGGGGGAGGGCGGGGGGTCCCTGCAGAAGGGGGAGCAGAGAAGAAAATTTGATTTACATCTTCAGTATCACCAACAGGCTCGATGCAGCAATGAATTTGTGCTTTACTTTTCTGCTTTTTGCAAGATTGGGAGGAGGAGGAAAGGGGTTAAAAAGGATGAAAGTAAGGGGCACGCTGGAGGCCTGAAGCAGTGCTGGGGGTCCCCAAATCTTCCTCCCTCCCTGGCAGATTCTTCCGCTGCTGCAGGCAAACACTGCAAGCTCCTTGGGGCAGAGACCCATCTTGGGGCCCTGCACTTCCAAAAAGCCCCCTGGCACACCCACAAGCTGCAAAACTGCCCCTACAAAGGCTGGAAGTGGGGCTACAGCCCCTCAACCCACCATTCTCCCCTTCTTTCAAAAGCCCCCTTTTAAAACCACCCAACAGAACAAAAAGGCTTTAAAAATTGAAGGTGCAGCATTTTCAGGGAGCCTTTCAAGGCCACAGAGAGCTCAAAATTGCCAGAAGCAGATGGCAAATGCTGGCTTGTAGCCATCCTGGCTAAATGGAGCCCTCATGTTCATAAGCAGTCTATCTTTGAATGCTGGTGCAGGAGATGGAGACGGCGGAGGCCGCTGGGAGAGGGCTGATAATGTCCTTCTGACTTCACATATGAACCCAGGGCCTTCCCAGGCGCCTAAGAGAAGCCTCACCCCGGAAACCATGTTAATTCAATAGAGCTTCCAGTTGCAGAGGCAGCCTACCACCCACCACAGAAAAGCCTAGGCAAGGGGACGGGCGGAAGGCTCGGGGCTTTTCCGGACAGGCGCTCTGCATATGCTCAGAGGCTACCTGGCCACCTGCTCAGCAGGCCCAGCCCGTCCTTTCCAGGAGGGGCCACGCACCTGGCCCAGGTAGAGCAGCCCGTGCCTGCGGGCCAGGCGCTGGGCCTCCTGGGCGCCGCCAGGGACGCGCACCGCCCAGCTGCTCAGGTAGACGCTCGCGGCACGGGAGGCTCCACACCACAGCAACAGCAGCAGCCAGACGCCCATTTCCGCGGCCGACGTCACCCCCCGCATGTCTTTCCCCGCTCAAGAGCGATGGGCGAGAGCCCTGTCCTTTATACCGCAACGCGGCCTTCGAAGCCGGGGCCTCGATTTTCACCCCACGACCGCCCCCGGGAGGTCCGGAGCGGCTGGCCCTGCTCCACGTGTTCGGAGGCGCATGGTTGCCATGACGACGCGAAGCCAAGGCGGGAGATTGAGAATTACCAGGCCAGGTGGCGCTGCGGGAGGACGAGCGGGGGGGGAAACGGGGGTTGGCCGCAAGGGCTCTTGGGAGTTGTGGTTTTCTGCTGAAAGATGCCTCGATGACCAATAGGGTTAATTGAAGGGATTACAGTATTTTTTTCAAAAAATCCAGCCTCTTAATTTTTTTCCGTTACCCACTTTTCTTCCTCAAAGCACAAGGGCTCTACCAAGGTAACGCCCGGCCCCATTTTAATAGACTTCCAGCATGATGGACCAAGGTCACCCACCTTCCCTTATGGTTGAAGGGGGAGCAACTCCTTGGATGGGAAACCAGGAGGAAATCCCCAAAGCTGTAGACTAGACTGGAAAAGTCAGAAACAATCCCAGAAAAAGGCAGTGATAAATTGTTTCCATATTGTTTCCCAAAAACTGTCCATGAAGCTACCAGAAAACTTACGAACTCAGTTGGAAGGAGATTTTACTGTTTATTCCCCAGTCTAGATTTGAAGTAGCACATTGGTTTCAAGACATATCTAGGTGCCATTGTCCAGATGTGATAGGAAATTACTTTTAAAGTAATAATTTTTTAAAATCTACCACTTTTCTATTAACAAAAAATCAAAAGTGGTGTGCCATTCTAAAATCAGTGAACCCTTGACCATGTGCAGAGTATGTGTCATAGATGAATAAACATTAAGCCACAAAGCAGAGCTTTCAAGGATGGAGAAGTTGATAAGAAGGCAAAATTAAATGTATCTTGCACATTAATTTCAGGGGGGGGGGAATTATATGAATCTTTCCAGTTAGAAATTGATCTCACAGCCTCTGCCCCCAAACCAGCACACGAAGAGTTAATTCGCAAGGTTGGGCAACTTCATTTCTTAAGCTTCACTGAAACCTGGACAGAGGTCATCTGTGGAAATCAGGTTTAAAGCAGCAGAAAGGGGGGGGGTTAATTGATATTCTGGAAGGACCGATTATAGACAGGAGATCCTAAATGCGGATTCCGGGGGACCTTGCTTACTTCCTTGGGGGTGCTGTAGAGATCCGTGGGTTGGAGCCGGGCCCATTGCTCAAGAGATAAAGTGTGCACCTGCAGCTTAAAAGTTTCACACTCAAGCCTGTTTATTCAGTGTACAGGATTTTACGCAACGGTGTTGAGAAAGATGAAACTCTGGGGAGCCACATCAACCTATCGCTCCACTCCCAGTTTGGATCTGAGAGTTGTGTATGTATAAACCATAACTTGCTTACTCATAGTGAGGTTAAGCATTTTTTACCCAATTAACCTGAAAATCAGAAGGATCCTGGTTTTCTGACTGCTGAGCTGCAGCAAAGAGATTATAGGAAGAAAGCTTCTGCCTTTTACATTGTATTTGTTTTTGAAATTTGCCGGTGGGAAAAGGTGCCAGCAAACTCCTAATTTTTTGCCACCACAGATAAACCCAGTTGATACACCTGACCTGAGAGTTTCTGACTTTGCACAAAACTGACTGAGCATAATTTAGCCACAGAGGTGGGTTTGCTCAGTAAGTTTGGCTAAAAGGTGAATTCTGAACATACAGACTATTAAGAGGGGGAACCCAAAACCAGGTGGTGGGAAATGGATTTCAACATTACGTGAAAAGGTGCAACTGGCTAAAATATTTTCTGTGAAGCCTTTTTGTTGTAGGTTTTAAAAAGGCAAAATTCTGGGGCTTTCTACATGTTATTTATCCTTGTCATCAATACAGAGCGAGTTAAGATTTTTGAGTGTGGGAGAAGGAGCAGATTTGGGTCAAGAATGGCCAGTTTGTCATAGATGCCACACTGTTGACTCAATGAATCTATTTGCCTGGGCTCAAATCAGATTGTGACTTAATCTTACAGCCTGGATTCACACGACACACATGGGGAAAATGTGGCTGGATGTCGGGGAGTTCAACAATGGAGACAGAATCACTGCAGCCCTGTAATGCAATCAATGTGTATTATTCTAAAATAAATCCAACTGAGTTTAGTGGGTTCCTAACTCCTAACTACTGTGCTTATCGACAGCTGCAGCCTGTTTTATGTAGCTGTTCAGGAGGTTTCAGATTCATTGGGGGGTTGCTCCTAAATTAATAAGCACCAGGTGATGCCCAATTCAATGATTTGATGCTCGGAAATGGGCCCCAAAGAATTCAATGAGACTTGCAGCCAGGCAAGAAGATTTGGCCTGAAGCCTCAAAAAGAGAATTCTGTAACAGTTCAAGAAGGCGTTAACTTTTTAACAACAGAACGTCACTATTTATTCAATCATTACTTAGACATTAATTTGTTGCTTCTTGATAAGATCCAAGGGGGAGCAGTTTTTCTTTTTACAAAATCTCTATATAAAATTGCATCATTAGAAGTAACCGAAAAGTTGCATCTATGTATGTATATATAAGTGTAAAGCACATCGACCACCGTCAGCCTTGAGCCAAAGCAGAACGGAGTTTCTGGCCTTTGGAGAAAATGCTTCTGGGGCAGCCCCTTCGACTGACCCTCTGCACCGGTAGAGAAGAATCCGCAGGAAGCAACTCCTGAATTTCCGTCCCGTTTTCCCGAGCTGAGGTTTGCTTCGTCTGCTCAAGCAGGGCGCCCGAGTGTTCAGCCTCCGAGCGCTTCACGATGGGCTCGCAAGCCAGGCCAAGCCCGCACGGGCAGCCCGGGGTGCACGGCCGATCCGGCGACAAGGCAGGATCGGTCACAGGCGAATGACGGAACGACGACGCTTTGAGACAGCGGCCGACCACAGCTGCGCCCAGCTGTAGTTGCTCTGGAAGCGACGCTTCTGCACCGGCCCGCTCAATGGTTGCTTCGGACCTGCAGGACCCCCCCGCCCCACCGGCGGCTTAAATTCCCGCACGGCCCCTGCCCGGAGAGCCGCTG